CACATATCACGCTGGAGTTTATTGCTCCCAGGCACACTGTATGAACATGCATGTAGGACCACAACATGTTGACCCTGGTCAGAACAGCCTTGGCTAGCAGGAGTTGAGCCTGACTCAACATGCTGCAGAGGAGCTGGCTGGGTGGGGCATGAGGGTGCTCCAGTGTGGGGTGAGCCAGCAGGCAGCCCTTACACTGACGCACCCTCATGCTCCAGCCACCTTGGGCATCATCTACATATGCGCTGCTGTGGAGTTTTTTACTCTGCAGCAGTGTAGTACTTGTATTTACTGTAAGTACAAATACCATCCTGCTGTGGAGTTTATTAATTTACTCTAGCCTAATAGGGATGTGCATGTAGATGCGCAACATTTAATGCAGACATAATTAATCTACTCCACTGTAAATGTCTCATGTAGACATGCCCACTAGGTATCAGGAAAAAAACCTTTCCTTCCTTCTTAGGTGAGCGTGCTATCTGCTTGGACAGAAAGTCAAGGGACTGGTGCAGTACCATGTAGTTACAGAGTAGTAAAAAAAAAGATCAGAATTATGTAGCTCATTAACAAGTCTCAGGGCTTTGGTTTAAGGTACTTCCAGTAAAGTGGGACATAGTGGACATGTATACATGTGCAATTAGTGCTGTATGGGTTTGCTCCACAGTAATTTACTGTGAGTCCTTCAGCTGCTCCTCTGCCCTAGTGACCAGCTGGTCCAGCAGCTGGGTCCAGTCCTTGGTCTGCTGCTGCCAGATCTGCTGCATTACAGAAGGCCCTCACCAAGACTGGCGCTGACGGCACATCCCCACATACAGCTGGTGGCTCTTCCCCACATGCAGCTGCTGGAGCTGCAGAGCCAAGAGAAGAAGGCTGTTTGTGAAAGTTGGCAACATTTCTGAGATAACATGTACAATACCAGGGGGGCTATGCACTGCCCGGCCTCAGATGGGGGTTGTGTGCCCACAGGTGTAAGTCAGCCAGGCAGGTGCCTACCAGCTGAGCCCCTCGTCCCTGCTACAGGGGCAGATGAGCCGCTGGGTGCTTGTCACAGGCAGTCTGCCTTTCCTGTCCCCTTCCCAGCCTGGGACATTTTCCTCCTGTAGGCCAGACCATCTCTTCTGCTGCCAGGCCCATGGCTCACGGGCTCAAGGGGCAAGGAACTCGCATCTGACTGGGACTCAGAGCTGCTGGCACCTATGCCTTCTCCCCAGTGGGCCTCTTCGGAGGGGAACTCGGAGGCCAGCCTCACACCATGCCAGCCCTGTACCTTGAGCATGCCCCTGCTGAGAGCATCCTGGATGCACTGCGAGAAGCTGTTTGCATGGACCGAGGAATGCCCAACTCACTATGTCCTGCTGATGATGATCTCCATGGTGCCCCAGGCACCCCTGAGAATCTGGTGTAGGACCCAGAGCTTCAATGGTGCAATGGGCAAGCCTGCACTGCCCCACAACATTCACCACTGCTTGGAGGGGTACCTGTGCCTACACTACATGTCCCTGCCCCCTGCAGCCAAGGATGACATTGCCTCCAGCACTGACGTATTTCTATGCATGTGAGAGGCCTGTTCCTGTCTAGCTGAGGGGGCACAGGCTGCTTAATAAAGTTTGCACTCCCTCCCACCTCCCTGCATGCTGTGGGGAGAGGGGAAGGGGGCGGGGAACTCCAGGGTGCAGGTTCAGCTTGGCTGGGCCAGGCAGAAGCAAGGGCAGGGGCAGAGGTAGGGATGGCCCTTCCCCAAATGTGGGGCTTACCAGATGGGTGTGGGAGGAATGCCCGGTGGCCCAAGTCTGTCCCTGCCAGTAGTGTCTTGGGGTGCAGGGAGGACCTGGAGCTGCTAAGGGCAGGCAATTCCATGGCCAGGCTGTCCTAGGCAGGGCTGTGCATCCATACCTGATGGGAAAGGTACTAGCCTATGCTGCCAGAACTGCTGGATGATGCTGGGGGCAGGGACCATGGTGGGATGGGCTCCTGGCACTCCAAGGGGCCCTCCCTTTCTGACACCTTGTTGCAGCTGCCAGGCCACAGCAGAGGCTTGGGCAGGCTGCTCATGCTGGAATTCATGATGTGGATCCAGCCAGACTCCTGGGGCATGAGGATGTGTTCCAGCTGCCGCATAAAGGGCATGGACTTCTGGCAAGCCCCCAACCAGCAATTATGGTCAGTGACACTGACCCACTGTGCCCACAGGGCCTTGACCTTTATGTGGCACTGGTGTCCTGACCAGTCATGCCCATGCTCCTCCATGCAGCCTGACAGGCCCTCATAGATGTGGGTTTTAGACTGCTGACTCCAATTAAATTGGTTCAGGACCTCAGCCTCACCACAGAGCACCCACTAGGGGGAATCCTATCCTGCCATACTGGATCTGGTATTGGCAACGGGGGATGACATGGTTGGGGACCTACAGATTGGTAGCCATTTGGGGGACAGTGATCACCTAATAATAGAATTCACCATAAGACGTCGAGTGGGTAAGGTAACTAGTAGGGTGAAAGTGCTAGACTTTAGGAAAGCTGATTTCAATGAACTCAGGTGATTAGTCAAGGACGCACTGCAGAGTAGGAGTTTTGAAGTGATGGGAGCCCAAGAAGGGTGGCTGTGCCTTAAGGAAATGATCCTTCGGGCACAAAGCAAGACGATCCCCGAGCGAGGCAAAAGGGGGAAAGGGGCCAGGAGGCTTCCCTGGCTGACCAGAGAAATCCAGGGCAGCCTAAGGGACAAAAGGGGAGCACATAAAAAGTGGAAACAGGGAGAGATCACCAAAGATGAATATACCTCCTCTGCTCGTGCTTGTAGGGAGGCAGTTAGACGGGCCAAAGCTGACATGGAGCTGAGGATGGCAACCCAAGTAAAAGACAACAAGAAATTGTTTTTTAGATATTTTGGGAGTAAAAGGAAGGCCCAGGGTGGAATAGGACCCCTGCTAAATGGGCAGAAACAATTGGTGACGGACAGAGGGTTCAAGGCTGAACTCCTCAACGAGTTCTTTGCCTCAGTGTTCCTAAGTGAGGGGCACGACAAGTCTCTCACTGGGGTTGTACAGAGGCGGCAGCAAGGCGCCAGACTACCATGCGTAGACCCTGAGATGGTGCAGAGTCGTTTGGAAGAACTGGATGCCTTTAAGTCGGCAGGCCCAGATGAGCTCCATCCGAGGGTGCTGAAGGCACTGACCGACATCATTGCAGAGCCACTGGCAGGAATATTTGAACGCTCGTGGCGCACGGGCCAAGTCCCGGAGTAAATCACCCCAGTCCTTGATGTTGAAAATCTGCAAGGATGGAGATGCTGCCGTCTCTCGGTGTAGCCTGTAACCACCATGAATAAGGCTAATCCTGCAGGTGTTACTCAGGCCATGCTCCCATTGACTTTGTAAAAAGTGGCATTTGAGGAAAGGTGGGAAACTCCAGGTTGTGCTAGTATAAACCAGGAATGAGATCCATCCTGGCAGGGATTACACATGGCCCATGTCATTGCCTTTATTGGCTTTATGGGGTCCAAGCTGACTAGGTGGCCTTAACTGTCCTAGGACACCAGCTCCTCTGTCTCTACTTGAGTTTTGCTGTCTGATGAAGTGGCTAAAGGGCTGTTGTTACATCCTTGAAGCCCAAGGGCTTTTTGGTGAGAGGAGTTTGCTCCTGGCACTGGGACTGGACCAACGAGGAGTAAAGATTTTCTCTCTTAGTCTTGCATAGATAATTCCTCGAATGCAGGATTGATCAAGTGTGAGGGCTTCTTCCGGCTGGGGTGCAGCTTCTTAACCTGCACCGAGTTTCCTCCATCAGGTAAAGGTGGATTTGGGTCTGTGCCTCTCAAACCTCTGCTAGCCATCAAAAAAGCCAATGGCACTTTATCATGTATCAGCAGATGCATGACGAATAGGTCCAAGGAGGTGATACTTCCCCTCTATCGGGCGCTGGTCAGACCGCAGTTGGTGTACTGCGTGCAATTCTGGGCGCCGCACTTCAAGAGGGATGCGGATAGCCTGGAGAGGGTCCAGAGAAGGGCCACTCGTATGGTTAAGGGCTTGCAGACCAAGCCCTACGAGGAGAGACTAGAGAAACTGGATCTATTCAGCCTCCGCAAGAGAAGGTTGAGAGGCGACCTTGTGGCTGCCTATAAGTTCATCACGGGGGCACAGAAGGGAATTGGTGAGTATTTATTCACCAAGGCGCCCCCGGGGGTTACAAGAAATAATGGCCACAAGCTAGCAGAGAGCAGATTTAGATTGGACATTAGGAAGAACTTCTTCACAGTTAGAGTGGCCAAGGTCTGGAACGGGCTCCCAAGGGAGGTGGTGCTCTCCCCTACCCTGGGGGTCTTCAAGAGGAGGTTAGATAAGCATCTAGCTGGGGTCATCTAGACCCAGGGTCATCTAGACCCAGGACTCTTTCCTGCTTATGCAGGGGGTCAGACTCGATGATCTATTGAGGTCCCTTCCGACCCTAACATCTATGAATCTATGAGGTCTGTGGTCTCCTCCTGGGACTAGTTCTGCCCCTGGAAGGCACTGTTGCCATCAAGGATGATACCAGTGTGGTTTCTTTGATGGCCCTCAGGGACTGCATGCAACAGTCTGGGTGCTGGCAGGCCTGGGCAGCTGCCTACAGCACCCAGAGCAGGGCCCAGGCTAGTGCATGGTATGCATTCTGTCCAGATTCGCAGATGATACCAAATTATGGGGTAAACTTAACACAACAGAGGGTAGCGAATGAATCCAGGTGGATCTGGACAGGTTGCAAAAATGGGCAGAACACAATAGGATGCACTTCAGAAAGGACAAATGCAAGGTGTTGCACCTAGAAAGAAGGAATCACCAGCATGCTTACAGGCTGGGGGAGTATCAGCAGCACAGCAACAGAAAGGGATCTTAGAGTCATTGTTGACACCAAGATGAATGTGAGTCATCAACGTGAGGAAATGATCAGTAAAGCTAACCACACTCTTCCTTGCATTAGCAGGTGCATGACAAACAGGTCCAAGGAGGTGATACTTCCTCTTAAAGTGGCATTGGTCAGGCCGCAGTTGGAGTACTGCATCCAGTTTTGGGTGCCACACTTCAAGAGGGATGTGGACAACCTCAAGAGGATTCAGAGAAGGGCCACTCGTATGGTTGGAGGACTGGAGGCAAAACCCTATGAGGGGAGATCGGGGGCCCTAGATCTCCTCAGCCTCTGCAAGAGAAGGCTGAGAGATGATCCTGTGGCCACCTACAAATTCATCAGGGGAGAACAGCATGAAATAGGACATGCCCTCTTTACCAGGGCACCCCTTGGAGTAACTAGGAACAACAGCCACAGTCTGATGAAGAACAGATTTAGGTTAGACATCAGGAAGAATTTCTTTATGCCAAAATCTGGAATGGGCTTCCAAGGGAGGTGGTGCTCTCCCCTGTCTTGGGGGGTCTTTAAGATGAGACGAGACACGCACCTAGCTGGGGTCTTTCTGCCCAGGGTGGGGGGGTCAGACTTGATAGTCTTCTGAGGTCCCTTCCGACCCAAATATCTATGAATCTATGAGACAGGCATGCCAGTGGTGGGCCTGAGACTAGCACTGGAGTCTAGGCAGGCTGCTGCAGCTGGCCTGGGGCCACTGGTGAAGGATCTGGTGGCCAGAGGCTGGCTGCTGGTGGCCCAGGGCACTGGGGTCACCACAGCATTTTTAGGGGCAGGCTGGGTAAGGCAAAGAGCCACCGTAGCCCCAGGGCTGGAGAAGCTCCATGCCCTGTGGCCCAGGAGCTAGCTGAAGGGTGGCCCCCTGTTGGTGGGGCTGGCTGGGAGCAAATTTGCTCCTGGTTGGCATCTACATGTGTGGTACTGCATAGTAACTACTGTTCAGTTAATTTGCTACCTTCAGGAAATTAACCACAGAGTAGACTAATTGACTGAGCAGTAAGTGTTTGCATATGTAGATAGCGATGCTTTACTGTGCAGTCAATTAGTCTATGGTGCAGTAAAGCATCTAGTGTAGACATGCCCAATATATATATATTTCTTCCATCTCCCTCCCCACCACAATTTTTCCTTTGAATTTCAGGTTTGTAGTACCTCCAAACTTCTCAAAGCAAGATTCAGTTGTAAGTAGAGCATTTTCCCTAGATCTTTGGTGACATTATGAATTTCCACATGATTGAGTTAATATATATGCATAGGCAAATGACTTAAAATGTACAGAACTTAGCAAATTCTATGACATGAGTTTGAAATTTGTGCAAAAACTCAAAGCCAGGTAAGTTCAGTAGAGTTCCAGGTTTTGCTGAGAATATTTTTTACATCTTTTCTCACTAAACTTCTAGTTGGCAGGTAATCAAACCAGACAGAGCTATTGAACCCACGTAGATAGAATAGTTCTGCTGACTGCCAAATTCAGATGTCTATGTTATTAGACCTCTCTACCAAAAATGTGTACTAGATAGTTTCAAACTGATTTTTTATAAATTGATTTTATATACAGACTAACTTGCACTCATTTAGCTTTCTCCCCTAAGCCAAGACTGGAAAAGGGCACCCTGAGGTTGGAATCAGACTGTTTGCACAGGTTAACTAAATCTTTTTTAAAGTCTATTTAAGCTAAACTGGTGCAGCTTTCTTGTGTGAATAAACTGTTTGACAGAATGCCTTCTAACACAGGTTGTTTGCAGCCTATGGAACTGTCCGGCCACATATAAAAAATAGTGGAAAACTGGGTATTTGATCTAGGAATGTTGTTTGAAGAAAGTGAGACAAATGTATTATGGATAAATGGCAATCTGATACCATCCCTGGCAGTGCTGGGAATACAGCAATTGGAGAAGCATCACGTGATATTCGTGGCTTCTGGAACAGAAATTTTTACCAAGTTTCTTTCCCCACCCTATTCATCGAAACCTTGTCTAAACAAGTATTGTAATGTGAACTGCCAAGGATGGCAGGGTAGGGTCATTTAAAACAAATATGTTGTCCAGATACTCTCCATTTCAGAGGTACCCACTAAGTTAGTAAATCCAGAGGATTTACTAAATGATTCAGTGAAGTATAATTAGGACAAAAGAATAGCTGGCAACTTAGACTATTGACAGATATTCATTTAAAGGTGAGACGGTATCTAATCCCCAATCCCAGCAATCACACCTCCTGACACGCCACTCGTGCCTGGCAGGACATGCAACTTGGAGACTGAGGATCAGATCCAAATCATGCCCTACTTGCCAGTGTAGGGGGGAGCCCCGGATCATGATCCTTGGTTCAGTGGATCATTCAGTGCAAGGTATAAAGTCCCCAGTGAGAGAAGCCCTTTGGTTCCCTCTGCCCAGCCTCTATCTAGGATGACAATTAGCTGATTGTTGGGGACCAGCCACACATTAAATTTAAGGTACCATACAAACGAGTCATGAAAACGTTCTATATTACACATGGAATATTTTTGTGGCTCATTCCCCATTTTATGGTGCCTTATATCAGGTGTGTGCGCACTCTTCCTATTTATGCTGCAATTAGCATATTAGAAAAGGTCTTAGTATGAGCCCAAGAGGACCCACTGACAATTTTTTCAGCAGCACATGAAATGGAGAAACAGAGGACTGGGAGGGAATGTGGAAACAGGGTTAGCTGCATGAGGACTGGTCTATCATTCACAATGGCAAATATGACTTGATTAGCTATCTGCCACGAGCTTTGTTTGTCCAGTTGGAAAGGTGCTGTTTTCATTCCCCATGTGGACATAGTGACAGCAATTAGCCCTTTTGCAACTTGTGAGAGAAACTGTTATCATTGTAACTGATCATCTAGTTAAACTGTATTTCTAAAAAACTGATATTGTAGAGATTGTCCCATTCTTTCCCCTTTCTAATTCAAATAATTTTCCTTGTCAACATTTCTCTTCCAGGACTGGGGAATTGCTCTCCCATCTTCAGCTTCACATTCAAGGAAGGAAAAACTGTTTTAAGAATGGGACAGTCATTCAAGGTTAGTTTAAAAAAATAAGAAAAATAATAGATTTGTAAACAAATTTTGAAAAAATGTGAAGTGCTAGTAAGAATAATTGCATTGTTCTTTAGAAGCTGCTACGGAAATAAAACTCCCCTGCCACCTAAATAACACCACAGCCTGCACAAGTAAGCTTTCCTTGGAGCATTGTGGGCTGGGAAGGCATCTTCTACCAGAAAATTCAGTGGCTGGGTTACCAAGTAGGGTGAAATCCCCTTAGTGTCTCCATCAAAGTTCCTAATGTTTAGAAAACTGGAAACCACCACATAGCTATTAATTAATGAAAAGTCTGCCTTTCTGGTTATAGATACCCTGATACCCTGCCTCAAAGATATCCTGTTAAAAAAATTATTTAGTTCATAAAATAATTTTAATCATCTTTTCTTGTGTAATCCAGTACAAGGAAAGACATAGACATGTTTTATAAACATTGGCTTGCACTGAGATGGGGCAGAGTTTAACAGAAATCCAATAATGTAGTTATAAAAATATGAATTGCACAACTTGCTGTCATGCTACGTAATCAAAATATGTTATTAATAAGTGAAACCAGGTTTGTTTGTTTTTTCCAACTGCTTTAAACCTGTGCTGCCACTGGACAAGTATTTTGGACACATCACAGTGGAAATAAGTGTTATACATGGATTAGAAAGAGAAGAAGGTAGCAGTTTTTCAAATTAACCCAGTAAACTCATTTCTTGCATAAAAAGCAGTATAGAAACAAACACAAAAGTGTTTGTAGAAGGAGGAGACAAGTGGCTGTTTGAGGCTGGCATTGTTGGCAGAGAGACGGGAACAGTGGAGAGAGAGACAAGGAGGTAAGAAGGGGAGGGCAAAGTTGTTTATTTGTGCTGTTCATTTACTTCCCTGAATCTATAGAGTGTTTTATTCTATTCAAGTTGAGCTCCAAAGCTGTTCCTAATACTGTCTGTCTGCATTTTTCTCTTTGAATTTAGGATGGGCCTGCACACAATATAACATTATTCTGTAGCATCCACAAATTCATAGAAACTGGCAGGTTGTTTGAATGTTGCCATCACTTACAGACTTTAAAAACAATTCCACGTGACCCCATGCTGTCTACGTTGGGGTGGTTTTGCCACCAGTGTAAATGTGGGGGGCAAGTGACCCCCACTACAGCTGACCACACAACACAGCCAGTACTGCCCTGTGCACCAAAGCTGCCCAGGGCATGCAGCTGCCCTGTTATGCCTCTGTGTTTGTACAGTTCTTTGCGCAATGAGGCTCCAATTTAATTATCTCAGTACAGGTGGTAATATAAACAATCCTTTAGCAGGGCATCCAAACTTTATGATTTCCGGTCTTCCACAGCTCATAGTGTCACAAACTCCAAAATGGGTCTCTGTCTTTGTCCCACTTAAAAGTAGATCACATGTCAAAACTTTAAACTAAAATAAAAAACCTGGCTACCAAATTCTACTCACATATTGAGATAAGAAAAGTGACAGAGAACAAATTGTGCCAAACAAACTTGATCTCCTTTACTGAACAAACTAGCTGGATGTATGAAGGCAATGCAGTGGATATAGTACATCTGAATTTCAGCAAGGCTTTTGACAAAGTTCCATATGACCTTCTCATAAAGAAATTAGAGAAATATGGGCTAGACAAAACTACTACAAGGTAGAGAGACAACTGACTCAATAGCTGCAAGCAAAGGGTAATTACAAATGGATCTATGTCAGAATGGTGGAGGTTTCAAGTAGAGTCCAAAGGAGTCTGTCTTGGGCCCAGTGGTATTCGGTGTGTTTATTAATTATTTGGATATTAGAATGGAGAGCTTCCTGAGCAAATCAGCAGATGACACAAAGCATACTGGAGGACAGAAGCACAATTCAGAATGTTCTCAATAGATTGGAAAACTGGGCTAGAGTGAATAGGATGAACTTCCATGCTGATAAATGCAAAGTGCTGTACCTTAGGAAGAATAATCAACAGCACAAATGCAAAATGAGTGACAATTGGCTGGATAGAAGCACTACAGAGAAGAACCTAGAATCCCAGAATCGTAGAAAATTACGGTTGGATGGGACCTCAGGAGGTCATCTAGTACAAGCTCCTGCTCAAAGCAGGACCACCCCCAACTAGATTATTCCAGCCAGGGCTTTGTCAAGTTAGGCCTTAAAAACCTCCAAGGATGGAGATTCCACCACCTCTCTAGATAACTTGTTCCAGTGCTTCACCACCCTCCTAGTGAGAGATTTTTACCTAATATCCAACTTAGACTTCCCTTGCTGCAACTTGAGACCATTGCTCCTTGATCTGTCATCTGTCACCACTGAGAACAATCTTGTTACCTCTTTGGAACTCCATTTCAGGTACTTAAAGGCTGCTTGCAAATTCCCCTTCAGTCTTCTCTTCTGAAGACTAAATAAATCCAGTTGCCTCAGCCTCTCCTCATAAGTCATGTGCTCCATCCCCCAAGCTATTTTTGTTGCTCTCTATTGGACTCTCTCCAACTTGTCCACATCCTTTCTATAGTGGGGGACCCAAAACTGGACACAGTACTTTGGATGTGGCTTCACCAATGCAGAACACAGTGGAATAACCACTTTCCTTGATCTGCCAGTATGCTGTTAGCAATGCTTCCTCTAAGGTGTAGCAATCCGTGAGTGCACCGCTTCAGTCCGTGAGTAAACACTGTCACTGGGAGAACAACATGCTGTCTGAAGAGGAGTGAAATATCAGGGTGTGCTCTTGGCTGCCTCGAGCTGCTGCTGCCTGCAGCATTTAATCTGAGATCTGGGGAAGCCAAGCTCCACACATGTCCCTGCTCCAGGAGTGAGGAGGGACATGGCCTCAGGGCTGGGGTGTGGAGCAGTTTCCCGGCGGCAGCCCCCGCCCCCACCTCCAGGAGTAAGGAGGCATATAGCCTCGGGCCTGGGGAGCAGAGCAGTTCCCCAGTGCTGGCAGAGCCCTCACTAGCCCCTAGCCCAGCCCCCACCCCCACCTCGCCTTGCCGTGCCACACTGCAGCCCAGCTCCTCTCTGGGTGGGTGCTCAGCATTAATAAGTTAGTGCTCAGCATGGTATTAAATTGTGCACAACCGCACATGCGTGCACCTTGGAGGGAACCTTGGCTGTTAGCCTTCTTGGCAACAAGGGCACACTGCTGACTCAGATCCACCTTATTGTCCATTGTAATCCCCAGGTCCTTTTCTGCACAGCTGCTGCTTAGCCACTCAGTCCCCAGCCTGTAGCGGTGCATGGGATTCTTCCATCCTAAGTGCAGGACTTTGCACTTGTCCTTGTTGAATCTCATAAGATTTCCTTTGGCCCAATCTTCCAATTTGTCTAGGTCACTCTGAATCCTAGCCCTACCCTCCAGTGTATCTACTATACCAACCAGCTTGGTGTCATCCACAAACCTGCTGAGGGTGCAATCCATCCCATCTTCCAGATTGTTAATGAAGATATTGAACAAAACTGGCCCCAGGACCTAACCCATGGGGGGTGGGGGGGGCAAGCACAACCTGAAAGTGGTAGGAGGGCAGGCACAACCCACAGGTGGGGAGGGCAGTCATGATCCAAGGATGCGGTCGGGGGTCAGGCGTGACCCGCAGGTGGAGTAGAGGGGCCAGGCTAAACCCATGGGCAGGGTTGGGGGTTTGTGATCTACAGGTGGAGTGAGGGGATCCCTCCCAGTGAACCTACACACCCATCCCACCCTCCCCCCACTGGGACTTATTCGTTCAGCTCTGGCAGTGGTGAACACAGATATAAGTGGCTGCACCCAGAGAGGCTTGTGGGATGAGGCTTGAATGTGCTGGCTGGTGGGGGAGCAAGGGGCCAAGGGACAAAATATTAGACCAGTGTTTGTGGGGGAGGGAGAGTGGAAAGAACAGCCCTAAGGCTTGAGCCAGTAGCTGAGTTTTCCCAACCCCAGGAGTGTGCAAGGGAAGTGGACAGGAGTTCCATGCACTGGTTTGACCTAAATCAAATGAGTGTAATACTACATAGATCCAAGTTTATCTTAAACCAGGTTCTGCAATTTTTAGACTGGTTTGTGTACATGGGACTTCTGTTCAGTTACAGTTACTTAGCCTAAGAGTCTTGGTGACCCACAGACTCAATATAAGTCTGCAGTGTGATGCAGCTAGAAAAAAGATTAAGGCAGTTTTGGGCTACATCAATAGGACTATTAATGTACCACACTTTACTCATCACTTGTTATGCGTTATCTAGAGTATTGTCTACAGTTTGAAACTCCACATTTTAAAAGGAATTGATTAGAGAGAACCATTAAAAAAAGATAACTTGACCCTACACTGCTAAATATTGTTTGAGATTTGAAGTAGAGAGATTTCTGCCTGCTTAGTTCTGTGGAAAAACATACTAGAAAAATCATGCTGAAGTTCTGAAATCTTTTGAGCTATACAAGGGAAAAAGAGGAAACAGAGCATCATACACATTGACATTAAATGATTGTACAAGATAAAGTTAACCAAAGCCTATCAGAGTCCCTTTACTAGAAAGAGGACATTGGTGAGAGTCTCTTACTCTGTTAAGCAATCTTCCTTTGTGGGGGAAAAAAGGGTTATTACTGCTGCTGAATGTCAGTTGCCCAGAACCGTGGTTAGAAGGGTGGTCACTTTTCTTCCTTTAACAAAACAAGCAGGCACAAAGTGGGAGGAGAAAGAAAGGATATTTAAAAGGGGGATATATTGCTATTTCTGTTTCAAAGTGGTTGGTCAGTCCTAAATGTTCCAAGGCCTGCTGGCCAACCATGACAACTGTACAGCAACAGATGCCTTTACCAATCTGCCATGGTTGATTTCCCTGGCTGGGATGTTGTCTGTTTGATCCAGGCAAGTCCATCTCTTTCACCTATTGCCATCAGGCTGGATAAGCTGTCTCACCCCATCACGTTGGTCCTGTGCAGTCCAGGATCAGAGAAAGAAAGCAAAGAGGGAAGACAGGAGGAAGACAGTGGGTGGGCTGGAAGGGGACACAGGAGAG